CCCTTTCCCCCTGTCCTTCCCTCCCACTTTTCCTCCCCCTCTCTCACATCCCTTCCCTTTCCTACTGTCCTCTCCCACCATTCACGCTTCTCTCAGCCATCCCTTTCCCCCCTCCCCTGCCCCTCGCCTTCCCCCACTACCGTCCCTTCCCTTTCCACTACGTTCTCTCGTTCAATTCAGCCGACAGTACCAGCTTTGCTTGGCCACTGATGGCTGTCTATCATATCTCAGTTTCCATGCTCTCTTCAATTTCCCTACCTAACATTCTTCAATAATGCGCAACGTTTCCTTCCCCTTTTCCCCTCCCCCCTCCTCCCTGTAAATGGACAGCTGCACCAATAGTGGATCGGAGTGTAAAAATCGGCTCTCCTTGGATTATGCCATGTTGTTTGCTTGCGATCCTTTGCATGATAAGGATTTCAATATGATATTCCAAGTCTTGCAGGTCTGTACAGTTGATGTTCTTTCTCCCCATTAGAAATAATACTCTTGCAAATGGATGGATAAATAAACCAAAATAAACCTTGTAAGTGAAATATGTATTTTGCAAAGCTTTTATGAAACATAAGGTTTATCGTTTTGCAATGTGGAGGTGTTATTGGCAGAACAATCAGCGAAAGGGAGTATGGGGGTGGTGATGTGGTCCCATTTCCCGTTTCGTGTGTGTTCCCCCCTTCCCTTCCCCCCCACCCCTTCCCCCCCCCCTTTTCCTTTCGAGGTTCGCGACATTCGCCTTGGATGTTTTCATCGCAACACAACTTACACACTCGCTAGCCAATTGACTACCAGTACGGAACAAGACAAAACCCGGCTTGTCACTGTTCCTAAGATAGTTGCACCGCGGCTTTAACGGAGGCTCTTGGAACAGTCAATGCAAGTCAACATCAGATGCGCGTGATTCTCGGCAGCCAGAATAATTGGCAGCCAGAAATATTGGTGCCTCAGCGAACAGTCGGTGGTGGAATGCAATTTATGGTGGTTGAGCAGGTTTCGTGAGAAGTAGTCTTTCGACCCGATTCCATATTTCGGCCTCCCCTTGGCTTCGATTAGCAGAACCACTGTTTACCACAAGAAAACGCTCTAATAGCCTCAACACCACTTGCCACTACCATTTTACCCGCAAAGGCAACTCTCCAGGATTCACGTCGCAAACAAGCCAGAGCTGTACAACCATGCCCTCGCTTGCTGAACACTGCACGATTATTGAAGTGCGTTGCGTAGGCGAGACGGCTGGAATGAGAGTAGCGAGTGCTTAGCTCAACATGAAAATGTGCTCTAAGGATAAAAAAGCAACGCTTTCATGTCATCTTGGTCAGATAATCATAGTGATCAACCTTCCCTCAATACTCTACAAAATGTCGGAAGGAAAAAGATTGCAAAAACATTTCATGGGGACTCTTTGAGGTTTTCCCCTGCCATCAATGCTCGTGGTTTATCATGTGAAATGCTTGAGCAATCTTGACGGGTGAGCTTTGTTTGAGCAATGGTTGGAAGGTATGCCGGAGCAATCTTGATCAGGCTCGGCAACCAGTGCACCAGCATTCGACCAGCATTGCTCATCCTCATTACAGCAATTGAAGCAATGCATATAAGACGCTTCAATAACGGATCAATTATCACAGTACACACTGCCTATCATGATTAAATATATCAAAAGAATGCAAAACGTGAAAACAGCTTTCAAAATAGGTACGGGTAGTGGTATCAATCCGTAGAATCGTGATACGTGAGTCTCGTTATCTGCTTGGTATCTCTTATATTTCAATCCAGCATTACATCAATGACATCCAGTACCAGTACCTGGTCTGCCTTACCACTAAGGCAAAAAAGATCCTAATTATGTACTGATGTACAACACCCACAACACATGCATCATGCATTGATGAACGGCACAATTCGGCGGGACGAGGGTTCTGCACTTAGCACCAACATATGCAACAGAGTTAGGTCAAAAGAGCCAGCACACATACCATGAAACGGACACCAACCTACCAACCGTATATGCATTTCATGTGGCAGGGCCTTTCCGAGCTTCGTTAAGGTGACAAGAAATGCATCGAAGGACATCAATGACGACGAAACAGGATTGAAGACGTCCAAATATGGCGACAAACACCTGATAAATAAATGTTTTCAGAGAAGGCGATAATAGTCTCGAACGCTGGAAGGTAAAACTTCATCTTGGCTGATACTGATATAGGACACAGAAAATAGGTACGCACGAGGTTATGTTAGCCAATGCGTATCCCTAAAAACAACTTACCTGTTTCGCACACGAACGGATTAGCGGGTGTAGAGTGTGCAGCCATTGCGTAATTAGGAGTTTCATGCAGCCAAGGCAGGTTAACATCCGCCACTGAGACTCTTGATCGTATGCTGCTGGGAGGAGAATGAAAGACAAACAGAACACAAACGAACGAATACATTAGTAGCGTCTTATCAGGAAGGAACAGGTGCAATCAGCAATAGCACTCTTGAGTGAGTCTAGGAAACCGAAACATGGATGCAGAGAGAGATGATGAACTGAATGCTGGGAGTTGGATAGCGAGGAGTTTGAATAGCGAGTGAAGGAACTTCCATAGCAAGGGGCATTTCTTTCTGTGGTTGTCGCACGTGCTGATTGGCGAGAATTTGGCGAAGTGATTTGCGAAATTGATGGTGTGGTGCCCCTTCCCACCTCGCGCCCCACACGAGCCCAAGCCTTGTGGGTTACTTTTCGCCACAGAAGGCCAAACCAACCCACGCTGTCACATCCAGTTGTGAAACTGCACCTGCAAAGTCGCAATGTTTTTGACGCGTCAGCAACACATGTGTTTTTGACGCGTCAGCAACACCTTATCCGACACAAGTTTCGCTATAGTTCTCCTTGTTATAACGCACATGAAATTTCAGCTGGTGCGAAGTCCCACGATCATGCAAATTCGGTGGCCTGTTTGCAACGAAGTTACACCACTCTACATCCACCAGAACCGAAGTATAGTCGCTGCATCAAACCAAATTGGTATGTGCGGGGCTGGCTCGATGCGAGCTTGAGGTAGCTGCAGAGACAATGAGGAAGGGGGGACAAAGATTTTGAAATGTGCACCAATATTTCAGCACTGTTTACCCTCCTAAACACTGTTTCACGTGACCTTTGTAATTGCTCGTGCAGAGGTCAGTGCTCATAGATGGGGAAAACCCAGATTTGGGCATGGGATGTGGGCTCGCAAATTTTGTAGAGTTGCGGTGATTTTCGAAGCACTTTTCGTGCAATTTGTGCACCGCTGACAAATATAGCAACACATGCTGCTACCAGGCGGGCTGCTATTATGACGGGAGTCCGAATATCCCGAATAAAAGCACGTCGAATTTATGCGCCTGAAATGCATCCAACACTGATACAAATGCGCTGCCCCCCTGTTTTCCCCTTTCTCTTCCGACTTCCTTTCCGGCAGCCGATTGCAGATATGTATGCTGGCCGCGCATCGTACTGGGGATCGTAGTGCCTCTCGTCACAGGCCTGATTCTCCTCAGCGTCTTCTTTATCATGCGCCGCAACCGTAAGAGCGCGGAGGAAAAATACGCCGCCAATGCCCCGCCTGCCGCAGCCGCGTACCCGCCACCAGGAGGCTATCCTCCCGCGGCTAACGTGTAGTTACTACTTCAGGAGGTTATGGTGACGAATGCGGAGAATAGGCGATTATGGGAGAGCCTAGGCGCAGAGTTGCAAAGCGGATGCTTGTAAACCGAATACGGACTTGCTGGAAACCGAATACTGAAGCCAACTTGGTATGCAGTAACGGAAAGAAAGAACTTCATTAATTGATTGATTACAACAGAAACAACATGAACCTTATAGAGAAGCATAGTGACGTGTGCAAGAACGTTCTACGAGAACGTTGTTCATGAAGAACGTTGTTCAAGGAGAACGTGCAAGCACCTACTCTAGAATGCGGTTCCAGGTTGGCACCGCCAGGTGAAAATACCATCAGGTGAAAATACCGTCAGGTGTATTTCTACCTGCCTACGAGTAGTTGCGCAGGTTCTTGCAACACTGACAGTTGCACATACGCGTTTGTGCAATGTCGTCACTTCCCTGGTCCAATGTCGAAATGCGCATACCGAAGCGCACAGACTGGAGTGTACTTGGCGAATACCGCAATACTGGTAAAACCGGTATGCGGTATGCGAAGCCTCGCTACTCCGCATAGGGCTGCTACACGCGAAACCAGGCGCGTGCAGGGCTTCGCCTTAACAACGAACCTCGATAATAAAGAGGCGGATAGAGCTACTATAGCGTAAATGCAACAACGGAAGCGCTGGCCTATATGCCGCCTTGATTATACTGTTTTGTTTGGTTTCAAGTTACTAGGATGGTGTTCTAGTAGCCTTGAGGCCTATCGTGTCTTGTGCTTGCCATTTCGCCAGGCGGCGCCTATCAAAGATCAACCCACATGAGCCGCAATTCCCACGCCTGGCAACCAGTTTGTCCTAAAAATACGCGCTTCACGCTCTTTCGCAATCGCTGATCGCCGTTCTTGGAATGTAAACAAGAAGGCTTATCTACCTCTGCTCGTCTCGTTCAAGCGGAGGAGCGTGGCGTCCTAACCCGACTGGGAATGGTACTGTATGTCTACGGTACCCGTAAGCTCACACCACATCGTGAACAGACTGGTGGGAAAAAGAGGCATTTGTGAGGGATGATTCACACTCAACGCTGGTCAACAGCTGCTGCAAAACTCGGCGACAAACATTCACGGATGCACAAGGGATAAGGGAAGTCAACCCCCACAAGGTGATGTTCTTGCAACTTCTAAGGGCCGACTGCGTGCCTCCAGAATCCCTCTCAATTATACCACAAGCGAAGCCAGCATATATCTGGCCATTAGCAGACGAGGGAAGTCAACGCCCACCAAGTGATGTTCTTGCAACTTCTAAGGGCCGACTGTGTGTCTCCAGAATCCCTCTCACTTACACCACAAGCGAAGTGAGCATATCTCGCCATTTACATTCTTTCACTTTCAGCTAGTCTTGGACGGTTGTGCTCCCTCAGGTTGACTCACTGTGACTGGATTGAACTGTAACAGAGCATTACAAGAACACACACCATTACAAGAACACAGACCATTACAAGAACACACACCATTACAAGAACACACACCATTACAAGAACACAAACCATCACGAGAGCACACATTCACAGGGTTGTCAAAACCGACTGATCAAAATGCAAAATCATGGGAATGCAAGGATTGGGAGCCAGGAGGGAGGCGGGAGATTCTGGGATGAAAGGCAGGTAGGCGGCCCCAAATGGCATGGCCGTATGCGAAGATCATACCAACGACTTTTGAGTCGACTCAAAAGATTCTGGGAAGAAAGGCAGGTAGGCGGCCCCAAATTGCGTGGCCATATGCGAAGATCATACCAACGTACACATTCTCTCACCTGGTAAATAGAGTAAATGACGTTTCGCTGGATCAGCCATATCATTGCGAAAAAGAGGTTGTACCCTTCAAGCTTGTACTCGATACAAACATCTAGATGTCTACGCATGTTCTCACCTGATACACGGAATAAATGACGTTTCGTCGAATCTGCCCCATCATTGCGAGAAACAGGTTGTACCCTTCAAGCTTGTACTCGATAAGAGGGTCTCGTTGCGCGTAGCCTCTTAAAGCCACGGCCTGCTGGGTGAACCTGAGCGCCTGCAGATGCTCCTTCCAGAGAAGATCCATCTGAGTGAGCACAAAGTACCGCTCTGCATCCCTCATTAACCCTGGGACTGCCGATTCTACCTCTGCCTGTAGAAAGGGTGAGGAGGTAGGGTCACAGGGGGTTAGGGTTGGGGTTCGAGAAAGAGATTGAGGTGATATTGAGGGATGAGTGGCGGCGGGTGCTGTGCCATTTGAGAGTTCGCGGTGCCAAGGGGTTGAGAATGGTGATGGAGAAAAAAGAGCGGTGGAAGGGGTGAAAGTGGGTGCTCTTCCAGCTGATTCATCTTGATAAGCTTGGAGTACCGCTTACGGGATTCTCAGTGGTGAGACCAAGGACTTTTTTTTTTCCGCACCTTCTTTGTGTAGTAGGCGTCTTTGCTGCGTTGGTGCAGGTAATCCCTTAGGGTGTCTACAGTGTCGCTGTGATAGATAATGTCATCGATTGATAAATCCGTGAGCAGAGCACAGTACCTGCAAGAGGGGGTATGTGAAGGATGAAGAGGGAGAAAAGGAAGGGTACACTCGAGGGGGGATTCGGTGCAATGGAGATGGCGGCCGTTCTTTGAGGCGCCTCAAATGAGGCGCCTCAGAAGTTGAAATGGAGATAGCGACCGTCTTTCGACAAACCAGTGCTGGGAAGAAGAAGAAAAAAAGAAAGGAAGAAAGGAAAATCAACATTACCTCTGGAAGAATTCACTAGAGGATTCGAAATGATTAGTATAAATGAGAACTGCAGCACTTACTGTTTGACCTTCTTTGTAAGAACCTCGAAGTTCCACTCCTCCTGTGACAGCGATGGATCGATGTTTGCCTGAGGGAGGTGGGGAGCAGATGGAGTGAGAGTAGAGCGTACATGAACAAGGTTCTTCCCCAGAAAGAACAGCTTTTGAGTCGACTCGGAAATTCTCGAGAAAGAACAGCTTTTGAGTCGACTCGGAAATTGTCGAGAAAGAACAGCTTTTGAATCGACTCGGAAATTCTCGAGAAAGAACAGCTTCACAGTATGGCGTGGCACCTGACTGCATCGCACGTCACCACATCATACGTGACAATAGCACACCTGATCTGATCGCAATGCACCTGACTGAACCGCCCCTCACATTGACAATGTCGTCCATGGTAAGCTGTGCATACTCCAGCATCAGCCCCTCCAGATCCTCTGTCTCCAGCGCTCTTCTCCTCTCCGAGTAGAACCGCTCCCTCTGGCTGTTCAGCACCTGGTGGGGATCAGAAGAGCACAGAGTGAAACCGGGGTGTCAGCATTCAAAGCCATCAAATTACCGCACACCACCATACCACACCACACCAGATCCTCTGTCTCCAGCGCTCTCCTTCTCTCCGAGTAGAACCGCTCCCTCTGGCTGTTCAGCACCTGTTGGGTGGGGGATGCGTTGAAGGAGCAAACATGGGGACGAGGGGTAAGCCTAACAGTGCAGTGTAACAATGCTTTCACAGCCAGCACCACACACGACCATACCATACCACACCAAATCCTCTGTTGTATTCAAACAGCTGTAGCCAAAGCGGCTCCACCTTCCTCTGCGCATCTTCCAATGCTGGACCAGTATCAATGCACACCCTATGGGCTGCACCGGGACCACACTGCACCGCACTGCACCACACTGCACCCCACCTGGTCGTATTCGAAAGCTGCTTGCGAATATCAAAGTAGTAATTCTCCACCTTCCTCTGCGCATCCTCCAATGCAGACTGGACCTGTATCAGTGCAAACCCTACGGGCTGCACCGCAACGCACCGCACCGCACTGCACCACACCCCACCCACCTGGTCATATTCGAACAGCTGCTTGCGAATGTCAAAGTAGTAGTTCTCCACCTTCCTCTGCGCATCCTCCTACGCAGACTAGACCAGTATCAGCGAACGCCCTACGGGCCGCATCGCATCGCACAGCACCGCACTGCACCACACCCCACCCACCTGGTCGTATTCGAACAGCTGCTTGCGAATATCAAAGTAGTAGTTATCCACCTTCCTCTGCGCATCCTCTAGCACAGACTGGACCTGTATCAGTGCACACCCTATGAGCCGCACCAGCCACACCACATTGCACTGCACCACACCGCACCGCACCTGATCGTATTCAAACAGCTGCTTGCGAATGTCAAAGTAGTAGTTCTCCACCTTCCTCTGCGCATCCTCCAGCGCTCGGTTCAGAAACGGCGACTCGATGGGCAGATCCTCCACATGGAAGGCCCTCATCAGCCCGTCGATCCTCTCTCCCCCAAACACTCTCAGCAGATTGTCTTCAAGGCTCAGGAAGAAGCGTGAGCTCCCTGGGTCCCCCTGCCGCCCGCTGCGGCCACGTAGCTGGATGCACGGAGAAAAAGAGTTGAGATTGGGGGGAACAGGCGGGAAACAGGGGGGAGGAGAGCAGCAGCAGGAATGGAAACGGCGACTCGAAGGGCAGATCCTCCACATGGAAGGCCCTCATCAGCCCGTCGATCCTCTCTCCCCCAAACACCCGCAGCAAGTTCACCTGTAGCAGTGAAGGTTTACAATAACGGTGTATAAAAATTTCATCTGCGGGGAGGTTCAGGAAGGAGGCGGCGGTGGAGGCGGCTGTGTGGGCGGCGGTGTGGGCGGCGGTGTGGGCGGCGACCATCACCCGGATTCTGCACACCGAGGAGCCTGATGAGGAAAAGAGAAAGAGGGATGCAAAATCACCCCGATTTTCATTTCCTCATCAGCCTCCTCGGTATGCAAAATTCGGGTAATGACCGCCCACACCGCCGTCTCCCTCCTCTTCTTGAACCTCCCTCCCTAATGACTTTTTTATACCCCGTTATTGTAAACCTTCACCGCCACAACAATCCTCCTGCAACAGTCAGCAAAGAGATCCACGAAGTCGATCGATTGCGGGGCAAGAAGATATGGTGTGATCATGCGGGCCTTCAGTGATGGCAGCTATAAGCAGTTCCTGGAGACTAGGTAGCTGCATTGCATGGAAGGAGACGAGGGGAGAACTGCTGGGATCTCCCTGCCGTAGTCTGATGTGCCAATGACATTTTAAGGTGCCTCACAAGTTGATGTGCCGATGACATCATGAGGCGCCTCACAAGTTGATGTGCCAACGACAAACAGTTTGTTGCGTGTTGAACCTTGAACTCTGAATTTTGAACCACTCACCAGGTTGTCAACACGTCTCGACTCGTGACGCTCTGTGCCAATCACATGCAGCCCCCCAGCAGCAATGTTAGAAAATCCAGTGCTCATACACAGGTTGCAACCGACCTACCTGGTGGTCCACGCATCGTGACTCGTGTCGCTCCGTGCCAATCACAAGCAGTCTGCTGCACCTTAAACCTTGAACCTTGAACCTTAAACGTTGAACCTTAAACCTTGAACCATGAACCTTGAACCACTCAACCTGATCTCATACCAACCGGCCTACCTGGTTATCCACACGTCGTGACTCGTGCCGCTCTGTGCCGATCACATGCAGGCCTCCTGCAGCAATCACTTTCCGCTTCTCCTCCTCGGTGAATCGCCGATACTCCCCCTCCACCGCCTCGAAGGCTGCCCTTAATTGCTTCACCACAGGGTCGGCTGTGGGGCCCTTGGGGGACGAAAGGGCAGGGAGCAGAGAGGAGGGAGAGGAAGAACAAGCATGATAGTGTGGTGTCACATGCTGTCCTCCCCCCAGCAACAATAACTCTCCGCTTCTCCTCCACCGTGAATCGCCGATACCCCCCCTCCACCGCCACGAAGCTGCCCTCAGCTGCTTCACGACAGGGTCAGACGTGGAGCCCTGGATAGGGAGCAGGAAAGGAGTGAAGGGCAATACAAGCAAAATCCTGTCATTGCACACAAAGTCCCCCTCCCCGAGCAGCAATCACCCTCCGCATCTCCTCCACTGAGAATCGCCGATACTCCCCCTCCACTGCCTCGAAGGCTGCCCTTAATTGCTTCACCACAGGGTCAGCTGTGGGGCCCTGGGGGGATGAGAAGAGGGGGGTGGGGAGAGGAGGGAGAGGGAAGAATGGTAGCAGTCTCTTGCAGCAATGACCCTCCTCTTCTGCCCCTCCACGTCCCCACACGATGCTCTCAGTTGCTTCACCACACGGTCAGTTGCTTGCTGTGAGGGGATCGCTCCCCCACGCCTACACTGCTGCTGCGGCCTGTGCTCACATGCACTTCTCTCATTTGAACATAACGCCTACCCACCACCCCATCATCAGCTCTCACCTTCTCACATGCGAATGCCAGCCTGTCCTCTGCCCCAATGCGGTGAGCGGACTGCTCCCCCACGCCTGCACTGCTGACCTCACTGCTGTGACTGGCCCATGAGCACTCCACTCGATCGCCCATACCCTCTACCCTACCCACCACCCCATCATCAGCTCTCACCTTCTCACATGCGAATGCCAGCCTGTCTTCTGCCTCCAGTGCTGTGAGCGAACTGCTCCCCCACGCCTCCACTGCTGCTTGCACCGCCTCGTTCACAACGTCAGTGAGGTCAGGCGAGAGCGGACAGGGGAAGAGATTGGGCGGCACCTGGTGGGGATGGGAATACAAAGGCAGAGGAGGGACACTTTTGCACAGGAATTCAGACAGCTTCTGTTGAGAGCACTTCGCCACGCCTCCACTGCTGCCTCCACTGCTGCCTCCACTGCTGTTTGCACCGCCTCGTTTACAACGTCAGTGAATTCAGGCGAGTGGACAGGGGGAGAGACTGGCCGGCACCTGGAGAAAAAAGAAGGGGTGGGTGAGAGAAGTGAGATATACACAAGATCTCAGAAAGTGATTCCCCAGTCTTAGAGCCAAACTCCTCCATGCCTGCACTGCTGCCTGCAGTGCATCGTCCACAACACGAGTGAAGTCCGTTGAGAGTGGACAGGGGAAGACAGCGGGTGGTTCCTGGTTGGGATGGAAAAAGGAGGGCAGTGGATGCGCATAAGAGGGAAGGGGATGGGAAGCAGAGCAGGCAGACTGAGAGGGCCTTTGGTGATGGATCAGCCCCACACAGCAATATGCTATGTGTGGGCCATGCTCATGCATGGCCGCCTCGTTTTGAGGCGCCTCAAAACGTGGCCACCTCGTCCACGACACGAGTGAGTGAAGTCAGGCGAGAGTGCACAGGGGGAGAGATTGGGAGGCAACTGGTGGGGTGAGGATGGGGGAGGCAAGGATGGAGCTTGCAGCGTGAGAGCGTTTCAGTTATTATGCTATGCCCCCATTCACATGTTACTCGCCACCGCTGCTCCCCCACGCCTGCACTGCTGCATGTGGTAGGACATACCATCCAGGTTCCTTCCACACATGGCATGGCAGGACAGACCGTCCAGGTTCATTGCACTTGGCAGGACATACCGTCCAGGTTCATTGCACTTGGCAGGACATACCGTCCAGGTTCGTTTGACGGCAATCTTCGTTTTGCCTTGGAATATGAACGCCACGTCATCAGCCTTCACCACTCTGTCGGCAGCAGTATGCAGGAGCAGAGAAGAGGGAAGGAGCAGGGGAGCGAGCGGGTAAGAGGAGAGGAGAGGGCAAGAGGGAGAGGAGGAGAGGGTAGAAGGAGAGAGGGTAAGGGCAGTGAGGAGAAGAGAGAAACACAAGTGTTTAACCATAATTGCTACTGGCACTGTCCCACACATTTACAACCACACTGCACCACACACCCTTCAATCAACCACACTGCACCGCACTGCACCTGGGCATGAGCACCTCCCTCAGCTTGAGCCGGGCCATAAATTCAGCATTGCCACCCAGAAGAATGTCAGTTCCCCGCCCAGCCATGTTGGTTGCTATCGTCACTGCCCCCACTCGCCCGCTCTGTGCCACTATCTCTGCTTCTCTCTCCACGTTTTCTGGCTTGGCGTTCAGCACCTGTGAGAAAGAGGGTGAGTGAGGAGAGGGGAGGGGAGGGGAGGATGGAGTGATGGAAGGATATAAATCCATGTTGGTTGCCTTGGTCACCGCCCCCACACACCCGCTCTGCACGACTATCTCTGCTTCTCTCTCCACGTTCTCTGGCTTGGCATTCAGCACCTGTGCGGAGAAGGGGTGAGGAGAGGGGGTGAGGAGAATGGAAGGGAGGGAAGGATGGATGAGAAAATATGGAACCATGTTGGTTGCTATCGTCACCGCCCCCACGCGTCCGCTCTGCGCAACTATCTCTGCTATTCTCCACGTTCTCTGGCTTGGTGTTCAGCACCTTTGCGGAGAAGGGGTGAGGAGAGGGGGTGAGGAGAATGGAAGGGAGGGAAGGATGGACGAGAAAATATGAAGGCATGTTGGTTGCTATTGTAACCGCCCCCACTCGCCCGCTCTGCACCACTATCTCTGCCTCCCGCTCCACGTTCTCCGGCTTGGCGTTCAGCACCTGTACCACCAGCACGGGCAGCACAGGCAGCACCATGGAACCCGTGCGTAATGAAGTCAACGCTAATGTAGTCCAAGGTCCTAGAACTGTTTCTGAGGTTCACGAGAAGAAATTTGGACTTAATATCACTGAGGTAGGGAATACATTGTTGTGTGTGTACGTCGTTCTTAATAACATGCTTGTACAAACTATGCGCAGGACACGCGTTTTGAGGGAGTGGAGTTGATGATAAGCTCAGAAGGATAATCCGAGGAAGTGGAACATGCAGTCATTGTGAGGTGACTTCTGCCAATCATGACGCAGGTTGGTTCTGAAAATTCATTTTGTTGGTTTTCTGGCGAGTTGACATCACATCATACCTGCCATCACATTACAGGTCTAATGCCCACCAGCACGGGCAGCACGGGCCGCACCATGACCACATCACATCAACCAATGCAGAATACAACACATCACACACTCTACGCACTTGGTTGGTGGGGAACGTTTGCCTCCTTCAATTTGGCCGAAAGGGCTTGCTGATCTCAACCGACGTGGTGCCCACCCGCACTGGCAGTTCCAAGCCAAGACATCTTTCTAGACAAGTCAACTCATCTCATCTCACCGCATCTCACCTCACCTCACATCATCTCATGTCACCTCACCTGACCACACAGCACCTCACCTGGTGGGGAACGTTTGCCTCCTTCAATTTCGCTGATAGCGCCTCACTGATCTCAACCGACGTGGTGCCCACCCGCACACACACAGCACAGAATCACGCCACACCGCACAACACAGCACAGCACCCACTCTCCTCACCTGGTGGGGAACATTCGCCTCCTTTAGTTTGGCTGATAGCACCTCACTGATCTCAACCGACGTGGTGCCCACCAGCACCGGCAGGCAGAGGGGCCACATGCACCATAGTACCACACCACAACACATTACAATGCACATCATCGCACCTGGTGGGGGACGTTAGCCTCCTTCAGCTTGGCTGATAGCGCCTCACTGATTTCAACCGACGTGGTGCCCACCAGCACCGGCCGTCCCTCTGCATGCCGCCCCTTCACATCTGCGACAACTGCCCTCCACTTGCCCACTGAAGTGCGATACACCACGTCTTGCTCGTCCTGTAGTTGGTGTAAAGCGAGTAGCAAGGTTATAGCAACAGAGGGAAGGAGTGAATGATAGACCACCAGCACTGGCTGCTCCTCTGCGTGCCGCCCCTTCACATCCGCCACCACTGCCCTCCACTTGCCCACTGACGTGCGATACACCACATCTTGCTCGCCCTGTGATAAAGAGCGAGGGACACCATACCGAGGATACAGCAATGAGAGCGAATGATAAGCCACCAGGGATAACCAATGAGAGCGAATGATAAGCCACCAGGGATAACCAATGAGAGCGAATGATAAGCCACCAGGGATAACCAATGAGAGCGAATGATAAGCCACCAGGGATAACCAATGAGAGCGAATGATAAGCCACCAGGGATAACCAATGAGAGCGAATGATAAGCCACCAGGGATAACCAATGAGAGCGGATGATAAGCCACCAGGGATTACAACCCTCCCATTCCATCCCATCCCATCCCTCTGCCTTCCGCTTGCCCATCAACATTTGGTAAAATGCAGCTTGCGAATACCACTTGCGGGCATCTCTGCCTCTGCGGCTTGCGAATGTAGACTGTCAAATCTGCCTCGAAACACCCACGTGAGCTCACCTTTCTCTGCAGGGGTCGGTTGGTGGGCACCTCTGCCACAGCCAGCTTGTAGATGCTCTAAAACCCGTCTGCCTCTGTGACTGCTGCTGCTGCTGCTGCTGCTGCTGCTGCTGCTGCTGCTGCTGCATTAGTCCCCACTCAGAACCTCACCTTTATCTGCAGGGGCCGGTTGGTGGGCACCTTCGCCACCGCCACCTTGTAGATGCTCGCAAACTCGTGGCTGCTGCTGCTGCTACTCCAGTCACTCAAGCGCACCACATCTTGCTTTCTCCATGCTACACCATACTCAGACACTCACCTTTCTCTGCAGAGGCCAGTTGGCGGGAACCTCCGCCACAGCCAGCTTGTAGATGCTCGCAAACTCGTCGGCCTGTGTTTCTTCACACTACAATGCTACAGCACCTGCCTCCAATGCAACACATTGCCCTCACCAACGGCCTCACCTTCCTCTGCAGGGGCCGGTTGGTGGGGACCTCCGCCACAGCCAGCTTGTAGATAATCGCAAGCTTGTTTGCCTCTGTGGCTGCTGCTGCTGCGACAGACTCCCTTGCCATACACCTTGCTTGCTTCATCCTAAACTGTGCTGCATGATACAATGGAACACCAGTCCCACCTTTCTCTGCAGAGGCCGGTTGGTGGGGACTTCGGCCCCAGCCAGCTTGTAGATGCTCTCAACCTCGTCGGTCTCTGTGGCTGCCGTGTGGTCTGTGGTGCCACACAGCATGTTTCATGCTCCAATGCTACATCATTCTCACCAATCGCCCTCACCAACGGCCTCACCTTTCGCTGCAGAGGTCGGTTGGTGGGGACCTCGGCCACAGCCAGCTTGTAGATACTCTCAAACTCGTCTGCCTCTGTGGCTGCCGTGCCAGTCATGCCGCACAGCTTGGGGTACTGCAGAGCAGATAGACAAACAGGGCATGGCACAGGGTGGGTGGATGATGAACGGGCTAAGAGTTTAGGGTGTTTGTGACCAAACTCGTCTGCCTCTGTGGCTGCCGTGCCAGTCATGCCACACAGCTTGGGGTACTGCAGAGCAGGTGGATACAAGGTGGGTGGGAGGAGTGGGGGAGGGGGGCGGGAGCGTAGCAGGGGCTTAAACTTGAGTTTTCTCGTCTGCTGCTGCCTCGGTGGCTGCTGGCCCGGTCATGCCACACAGCTTGGGGTACTGACAATGGATGGAGAGAGGAATTGGGTTGTTGAGAATGATCACATGGCTGCTCAGCCAGTTATGCCACTCAGCTTGGCCCATCACACATGCACCTGTCATACCTGCAACGAGAAGTTCTGGTAGCTGATAGATGCTAGGCTGACCATCTCATTCTGAATCACCATACCCTTTTACGCCTACACTGCCTGGTGCACGCACTCTCTCCACCTCCCTCTGTGCAAGCCCGCCCTGACTTACCTCGCTCGCACACACACAGCACGCATGTCATACCTGCAACGAGAAGTTTTGGTAGCTGATAGACGCCAGGCTGACCGTCTATTTCTGAATCACCATGCCCTCCTTCGCCTCCAGTGCTTGGTGCACGCACTCTCTCCACCGCCCTCTGTTCAAGCCCGCCCTGACTTACCTCGCGCACAAGATCACGCCTGCCATACCTGCAAGAAGAAGTTCTGATAGCTGATAGAGGCCAAACTGACTGTCTCGTTCTGGATCGCCACACCCTCCTTCGCCTCCACTGCTTGATGCACGCCCTCGCTCCACCGCCGCCCCTCCATTATCCTCCCTGTAAACTCATCCACTATAAGCACCGCGCCGTCGCGCACAATGTACTGCACGTCCTTGGTGAAGAGCTCCTTGGCTTTAATGGCGTTGAGGAGGAAGGACGCCCACTGCTCCTTGGGGTCGTACAGATCCGTCACTTTGAGCACTAGCTCTGCTTCCTCGTACCCTATCTCTGTTAAGAGAACCACCTTCTGCTTCTCGTCAACCTGTGTCGGGCAAAGAAGGGAGGCCGACAGGGAAGGCAGGCAGGAAGGCAGACAGCACAAGGCCGGCACGCAGGTAGGGAAGGAGAGGACGCAGAGAGAGGAGGCTCTAATTGCGTTGAGGAGGAAGGACGCCCACTGCTCTTTGAAGTCATACAGGTCGGTCACTTTGAGCACCAGCTCTGCTTCCTCGTACCCTATCTCTGTTAGACGTACCACCTTGTGCTTCTCGTCCACCTGAGTGGGACGGGCAGACATGTAGTGGCATACAGGGAGCGCAAGCAAGGATGGGTTGGACTGTGTTGATAGAGGAAGGACGCCCACTGTTGCTTGCTTGGGGTCGTACAGGTCGGTCACTTTGAGCACCAGCTCTGCTTCTTCGTACCCTATCTCTGTTAACAGCACCACCTTGTGCTTCTCGTCCACCTGAGTGGGACGGGCAGACATTGACAGACTGAGAGTGCAAGCAGGGAGGGGTTTGACTGCATTGACTGCTCCTTGGCTTGCATTGTAAAGATGGGTCAATTTAAGCACCAGCTCTGATCTGACCCATCGTAGCCTGTGTCTGCCAGCAGCACCATTTCTGCTTCTCGTCCACCTGAGCGGGATGGTTAGACAGGGACGGAAGGTGGGGAAGGCACGGAGGAGGGGGAGGAAGGAAGGCGGACAGCTGTACAGCTTCTCGGTTTGCCTGATCTGATACAATGAGCGGCATGTGTGCAAGCCTCATGTTGAGGGTGAGAAGCACACAACCGCCCTGAGATAATGTGTGTGTACGCGGATGCTATTTAGATCTAGACACGAGCGACCTCAGTTGGCTTGCTGCGATCAAATCCGACCTTAATCAACATCTCTGAGATAATGTGAGTGTACGCGGATGGAACCAGGGAGGGAGGGTACCTGTCAACCCAGGACTCACCTGATATAAGTGTGCGTATGTATGTGTACGTCACTTTTAAATGCCGCCGCGATCTTGGCCGCAGCGAGGCATCTCTTGCAGGGCCCCTCTGCCTGCCTCAAGATGATGCGATGAGTAACATGCGTGCGGTGCGGGCCTTCTCAGTCACCAAACCTCTCAATTGCATTGCAACACACCGTGTAGCGTGTGTCCCTCGCAGAGGCAGCGGCGATCTTGGCAGCAACGAGGTAGCTCTCGCTGGGCTTCTCTGCGGGCCTTGAGATGATGAGCGGCGTGCGGGCCTCGTCGATCAACAAGGACTTCAGGGAACAGTCAAACTCAGGCAAGCTAACGAATCACTCACCGTGTAATGCGTGTCCCTCGCAAAGGCTGCAGCGATCTTGGCAGCAACGAGGTAGCGCTCGCTGGGCTTCTCCTCCGGCCCCGTTATGATGAGCAGCGTGCGGGCCTCGTCAATCACTCAAACTCCAGAGGAAGGCTCAAAACTCAGGCAACCCACTGACTCACTCACCGTGTAGTGTGTGTCCCTGTCAATAGCAGCGGCGATCTTGGCAGCTACGAGGTAGCGCTCGCTGGGCTTCTCTGCCGGCCCCGAAATGATGAGCTGAGTAACACGCACACCTTCTCTGTCACCAAACCTCTCAGTTGCAACTCACCGTGAAGTGCACGTCTCGTTCAAAAGCAGCGGCGATCTTCGCAGCAACGAGGTAGCGCTCGCTGGGCTTCTCTGCCGGCCCTGATATGATGAGCGGCGTGCGGGCCTCGTCTATGAGAATGGAATCAACCTCATCGATGATGCAGAAGTTGAAGGAGGGTACAACTAGGTCCACCTTGGACTGTGAGTGGGGAAAGCAGGGCAAGGCGGGAAGGGAAGGGAAGGGATGTAGAGGAGTCAGTGCAAGTGCCTCGTCGATGAGAATGGAGTCGACTTCATCGATTATGCAGAAGTTGAAGGAGGGTACAACTAGGTCCACCTTGGACTGTGAGTGGGGAAAGCAGGACATGGCGGGAAGGGAAGGAATGGAGAGGAGTCAGTGCGAATGCCTCATCGATAAGAATGGAGTCGCTTCATCGATGATTCAGAAGTTGAAGGAGGGCACCACCAGGTCAGCCTTGGACTGCGTATGGTATGGGGAAGGCATGACATGGAGGGAAGGGAAGGGAAGGGATGTAGAGGAGTCAGTGCAAGGGTCTCGTCAATGAGAATGGAGTCGCTTCATCGATGATTCAGAAGTTGAAGGAGGGCACCACCAGGTCCGCCTTGGACTGTGAGGGGGAGGGTAAGGGATGGCAAGGGAAGGAAGGGAATCGGTAAAAGTTAGTGCGATTAAAATGGAAGGCAGGCACTCACAATGGCAGCAAGCATGCATGCATGCTCGCATGAGAAGAAACACTCACAGTGGCGAGAATGTCTCTGAGGCAGTCAAAGCCAAGCTCGCTGTTGGTGACGTATGTGACATCACACGAGTAGCTCTCCCTCCCCACTAGGTGAATTTGGAGTCAACTAAACTCACAGTGGCAAGGTTGTCTCGGAGGTAGTCAAAGCCAAGCTCGCTGTTGGTGACGTATGTGACATCACACGCGTAGCTCTCCCTCCTCTGCTGCGCCGTCATGCCCTCTGCAGGCGCGACTGTTGTTGCATATCATAAGTCACTGATCAACAAGCAAGGAGGAAAGAAGGATTGAAGGAAAATATTTTCCTTGTTCACACCACCTTCTGTACACGCATGAAAATAGTGCTTGTTGAGCACACCCTAGCTAAATAGCGTACAGTAGTTACCCACACTAACCTGTTTTTGTTGTAGCAATATATCTTATTCATAACCATTGAATCCCGCTGTCTGGGCTGAATTACACTGAGCTTACACTGGCAGCTCAGCTTATACGGTGACTCTTGCTTGTGGCCCAGAACAGGGTGGGCTTCTGGTTTGGCTCGGTGCTGCTGGATGTTGTGAGAGGAATATGGTTCAGACAATTCTGAGCTGGTAAGGGCGCGTCCCTACGGCCTCTTAACAGAAAATACTCGTCAGACTTGCGTCGCACCACTCTGTAACGCGCGTAATCACATTCAACCTCATTGTACCGCACAAGTCTGACAAGAGGTGCGTATGATACCGATAAGAGGCGCAGGAACATGCACTAAAACGCATGAGAATATACAGTGAGTTTACCAGCCACAAGACAGGCAAACCCCAAAGAAATGCTACATGAGTGGCAGCGCGCGTGGTCTGACCACAATGTGAGCAGCGCTGAGCCCTTCTCGCTCCAACAGCTGCTCCATCACCCTCCTCCGCCTCCTTTGGTTCTTCCGGTTGTAGCGCCGCCCGTAGTGGTCCCCTGCCCACCGCCGCGCTACAGCCTGCCAGATCATGTCCTCCGCCCCTCCGGGCTTGGGCGGCGTGGAGTAGACAAAGTGGTGTGCCACCTGCCAGGGTGTATGATGGGGGGGAGGGGAGGGGGGAGAGGGGGAGGAATATGGTGGCAGAATTTGCAAATGTGAAAGCTGAGGGTGAAAGCTGGAGGCAGATGATGCGCTGGAAGGGAGATGGTTTGAACCAGAGTTCAGATGACAGAGAGCCCCCCACCACCACACCCCTCACCCCTTCCACACACCTCTCTCAGCCGCTGCCACATGGCGAATGCTGATTCGTGCGACACGTTTCGCAGGAAGGCCTCGACGTATCCGGGGCGGAGGGCGAGGGCCTGTGGGAGGAAGAGGGCGAAGGCGGTGTAGTCGAGGGCCTCCTCGAATGGCAGGTCGAGTGAGTCCGACACCACCAGCGGGATGCAGTGCGATAGCACGGCGTCAAACAGCCGGCATGATGATGCCGTGTCGCCTGGCGAGGGAGAGGGAGAGGTGAGTACGAGGGCGGAGAGGGAGAGGGAGGGTGAGTACGAGGAAGGTCAAGGGGGAGTTCGCGCGAGGTGGGGAAGAAAGGGAAGCATGGCCAGCCACGAACAAGATTGCAGGTTTGCATGGTATGTGGAAGGAAGATCATTGTAGTGAGCAACGTAAGCAGAAGGAGGAGGGCGAGCAGTGGCAGAAGAAGGTGAGGGAGAGCAGAGGCGACCTTCAGGCACGAGGCAGAACTTGGAGGCGCGCATGCCTGCTGTGGCCGCCTGCACCCCTCCCTGCAGCGGCGACCCCTCCGCTATGTCCGCCCCACTCACGTTCGCCAGCAGCCGCGCCAGCTGCACTCGCATGGCCCCTCCCTGATGCAGCGCAGGGGAGGAGGTGGGGGAGAGGGCCAAGAGGGAGGAGACCGGATTGAAGGGGCAACGCGCGGGCGGGGTGGGTGAGTGGCTCAAGGGAGGGAATCAATGGCACTGGTTGAGGCAGGCTAGTCCGACCTGCATTGCATCCCTCTCTGCAGCTCGCATGCACACCTGTTGCCGGTTGAGCGTGCCTCTGAAGAATATCAGAGTGGGCCGTGCGGCCGCCCACGCTGCCACAGCCTGCGCCGCTCCCACACTGCCGTGCCCGCCCTCTGTCTCCCCCGGCAGCGAGTCGTTGAGGAAGGGCGGGATGAGGGCGGAGTAGGGCACGAGCACGTCCTTGTCTAAATGCGCCACCTGCTCCGCGGGCTGGCTCAAGTCCACCATCAGCATGTGCGCTGCTGCCACCTCATGCCGCACCGTCGACAGTGCATGCGGGTGCACTGCTGGAATGAGGAAATCTCGCCGCCGAGACACAAGGCCCCCCTTGCCTCCCTCGCTCTGCGACCTCTCTGCTGCATCGGCCCTCTCAGCCTCTCCAGCCCCACCATCGGGTGGTCCCTGCTGACCCTCCACCGGTGCGTTCTGCGCCTGCTCGCCCGCCTCTGCTTCCTTCCCCTTCCGTCCCCCTTTCAGCACCCTCAGCAGTCGTCGTCTGCTGCTGCCGCCAGCCTCCCCGGCACCACCACCACCACCACCACCAGGTGAGCCCTCCCCAGTCGACACCTCCACCTTCTCCAGCAGCTCGCCCTCCCCCGGCTGCCCCTCTGCCCCCTGGCTGGCCCCTCCTCCCTGCCCGCCCCCGTCCCCCCACAGCGCGTGCTGCGTGACCGCTGCCAGCAAGTGCTGCTCCTCCGGTATCCTCGTGTCCCCCGCCCGCCGCCGCCTCTCATTGCTGCCTTGGGGGGCCAGGGAGGGCGGAGAAAAGCAGGCAGAAGCGGAGGTGGGAGAGGGAGGGAAGACACGAACAAGGAGCACACAGGAAGCGAGCCAAGCCAGGATGCTTTCTCCACGGAGACACTGCTTGCACCACGTGGCAGGCTGTCACAAACGCACGCAAACGAGTACGAACCGGGCGGCACTGACTCACGTCTTCATCTGAGTGGCATAGAAGGCGGAGGAGAAGGCCGGCACGAAGACAATGTGGGCGTCCTCAGCCCGCCGCACGCGCTGCACGGAGGGCAGCCCGCCGGCGAGCAGGGAAAGAGTGAGCCAGTACTCGGCTGCGTACTGCTCTATGTGCACCCCAAACCCCTCCACAAACTGCGGCACCTGCACCGACCGCTCTCCACCCCCTCCTCCGCCTCCCCCTCCGCCCTCCCCCTGGCCGTCCTCCACCCACCCGTCGTCCTGCACCATGAACCCCAGCACGTCGCCGTCCGCCCGCGGCCGCAGCGAGTTGCCTTTGAACCGCCAGTCCGCCGGCATGCCGTGCTGCAGCTGCAGCTGCTCCCGGTTCGCAAAGCGCCACCGTTGCTGTTGACGGGGCGTGGGGAGAGAAGGGGGAGATGGAAGGCAGCGTGTGGGGGGAGGGTGGGCGCGGGAGAAAGGGAGGAGGTGGGTATGGTGGGCGCTCACAGTGGCGCATGGCATGGGGCGGCATGGGGACTGGTGACAAGGAGAGACGGAAGGGTGTGTGTGCTGTGCAATACTGAGGAGTGGCGGGTGGTCGTACCAGCAGCACGTGGAAATTGAGTTCGCCTGTCAGTGGCAGCATGTACACCCGCAGAGGCATCGGCACCTCCCCTCCCGCTCCTCCTCCCTCCTCTCCTTCCCCGCCCTCCCCTCCCTGCCCTCCTTCCCCCTTTCCTTCCGCCTCTCCCCCATCGGTTCCTCTCTCCGCCCCCTCTTCCATCTCCTCCGCCGCCCCCGCACTCCCCGCCAATGCTTCATCTCCCTTGAAAGCAGCCTCGCTACTCGCTACAGCGTCAGCAGCGTCCGCCATGGTCACTGCCTTTTCCCGAATCACGTCCGCCTGCTCTCCGCCCATGCGCATTGCGCTCTCCGCAATCCCCCCATTCCCCCCAAAATGCAACGAATCCCCGCGCTCGAGCTGCGGACCCCTACCCCTCCCTCGCACACGACCCCCCGTTCCTGCTTCTGCGACGGCGACAGCGTCGCCAGCAGTCGCACGGATGGCGCCGTGCGACGCGGCCCAGGGCACGAAGAGGAAGAGGAGCAGCGCGAGGAGGCTGACGAAGACCATCAGCGCGTACACGCGCGCCACGTGGCACTTGCAGCACAATCCACTCTTGCCCGCCGGGACGAACGGAGACGGCGGCCTCGCCGTGAGTCGCGGCGTCGCCATAATCGAGGCTCGAAGCGGTAGGCTGGAGTGGGGAGTGCGGTGAGTGCTGCGCGGATGTGCGCAGGAGGCGTCAATTCATGCTACGCTATCCCCGCGAGAATCCGCCGCGCTCATTCTACTGCAAATACAGCGAGAGCTGTACCGCGAGTTGCGCTGGCAGAAAGCAGCGATGACGAAGCGACAACTGCAGACTCGTGTTGTGGTGAGGAATGGGGCTTGCGGTGAGGTGATAGTTGCGCTACGCGCGACAGGCGCGCAAAGCAAAACCTTTAGTTCCAATTTCTACTTGGGATGAGGCGGCGCAAGTTGTTGGCAACCTCGTTATGAAGGTGCACAATTTGTTATTATTATGGTACAATCATGTACAGTATTTGATGTACATAGACATGCGTTACGGAACAACTGACAAGATACTTATCAATATTCGCGGATTCATTTATTGGGGCATCTGATGCTTTGCCATGCCAATCTGGCATCGTCCTTCAGTAATTCGAGTCGCGACTCATGAGACCCGTGCGGCAAGCGAACAGCCGTCACACGTCCTTCGCGTGCTTCCTCGGGCTACTCAACGCATTCAGAATGTTATGCCGCCATCCTCTTTCACCGGATCGCCATTTCGCGCTCGATTGTCCGCCCTCTGTTGGTGTGCCGCTCGAAAGAGTCCACCCTTCCGCGGGGCTTCTTCGCGACGTGCGCCCATCCGCTCGCTTTGCTCCGGTGTTCCGCCTCCCGCCGCTGCTGTCATTGGAATCGGCAGGCGAGCAGACACCGGCGTCTCCGCCGGTGGGGCTGCATTCCGAAGGGGCGGCGGAGTCACCGCGGAGCACGGGGATGGGGGTTGGCGGCGTGGAGGGGGCAGTGCGCCAAGGAGCGGCACTGGGCGAGGGCGAGGGGAGGCAGGAGGGGAGGAATGGGGGGATGACGAGCAAAGACGGGGAGCGCCTGTGCTGAGACGATGACGACGACGACGGCCGATCCTTCGCTGCTGCGACGGAACACGCAGAACGCTCAGCGCTGCTATCGCCATGCATCACCGACGCGCGTCGCGGCAGGGTCGGCGAAACCTTTTGCGAGGCACACGCGCAGGGAAGCGAGTTATGTCGCAACAGCTGGTAGCGCGCCGAACCCTCCCTGCCCGCGAACCCTGATTCCCCCGCGCGCTGCGCCGTGTCGTTGCGCACTCCCATTTCGTCGCGATTTGCGCCGTGCGGTCGCCGCTCGTCGTCCCCAGAGGTTTCCGCCAGCCCTTCCTCCAGCCACCGCGGCTCGTACACGCTCCGCCACACGCCCCGGCTGTCCGCGCGCGACCGCCCGCGCCTCGCGCCCTTCTCGTTGCCGCGCTCCTTCGACTCTGGAAACGATTTCGCTCGCTTCGCCGGCGTTACAGAAGCCGTCGCAATTGCGACGTTCAGGTCGTCGCAGCTGCCGCGCCGCGGCATTAATTGTCGACCGAACGACCTCATCTTCTCGCGCCACGCCCAGCTCCGCCTCGCACTGATCGCCCCAGCAGCCCCTGTCATGGGGCTTGACAGAGAAAACGGCGCGCTGTGCGGCACTTGCTCCAACGGCTCTTCCTCCTCCTCCTCGTCCGCCGCCGCCGCGTTCTCCCACAGCATTCCCCATTCCGCGGCGTCGAGATTCCGAAGCCTAGCAACGACTGCCGCCTTGCACTCGCTAATGCGTATCACATCCGCGGAGGCCATCTGTAGCGTTGAGACACTCAGCTAGCTTCTGACAATAGCAACTTGATCTGTATGGAAGAATGGGAAGGAAACTCAAGAGCGCCAGTTTCCGTTCACCAGAGATGAGGACGAAGAGTGCGTCTGTTTCCCCAATTTCAACACACATCTCATCCGCGCGAAGAAGTTCCTTGACTAGCAACCGACACCCGCATGCTTCTGGCTGACTGTCCTGTACCATTCTGTGCCATGCTATGCGGAGGTCGTGCTCGGCGCGCTGTGCGTGTCCATGCTACCCTGGAAGGTGCGACGCAACGAAAGGCCAATGGCGCACCACGCGCGACAAGCGACAAGCACTCCTGTAACTTCCGTCTGCCGAATGTCATTCGCCAGCGCCTCACGCGGCAAATGCAGTCAGCAATGTGAGCCGCTTGTCCGTTTTGCAGTCGGTGGCAGTCGGCATGGGCACGACAAGCGATGCCAGGGTTGGCACCCGCTGCCGTGTAACCGCAACTTCTTCTGAAAGCTTGTGTGCTGCACTGTATGGCTCGTGCGTGCGGTATCGTTGCTAACAAGTGACGTTTGAATGAGGATATCTCCGCCTAAGGGGGTCAGTGCTTCCCATTCGGCTATACACCTTACAAATGTACGGCATATCATAGACCACAGCTTAGTATTCTACAGAATTGAGAAGCCGAGAATTTACATATCAGCAACTGTTACAGCATGGCTCCTAGGTACACCTGCACAATGTCGTCACTAGCCTCCTGCTCCACCCTAACCTGCGCAGAGGGCGATCTCAAAAGCTCCACCTGTTGCTTGCGCATGGAAAAGATCGCCCAGCCGTAGCACACCACGCCTACGAGCTCCAGCAGGCAGCCGAGCAGGCTGATGGGGGCCATGGGCGTGCGGAAGAGCAGCCAGGAGAAGATGAGAGTTATCACCAGCTTCAGATTGCCCGCCACGTTGAACGTCAGCGCACTGCCATGGGGCCGGGGCCATTGGTGCGGGCGCAAGCCGTGGGAGGGGGGTGAGGGATTGGGAAAAAGGTATGGATGCATATACGCCATGGAGCAGGGAAGGCAGCATGAGTTTCGGGTTGCTGGGGGAATATGAGACAATGCGTGACTTGCACGGTTTGCACACGCTGGAGGTCAAGGGCATGGGGCATTCAAGTGCACACGGTGCCGAGGAGTGACGGTGGTGGTGGCATGCAAAGCTGCAGAGAGGCTGCTGGAAGGGGCGACTTACCTGGTCTTTTGAATCGTGTAGAAGAGGGAGAAGTTGAGGCAGAAAGCAAAGCAGCCACTAATGAGGATGGCGATGACAGCGGGCCAGGGGTTGGCCTGAGCCATGAACCACCCCCACAGCTGCCACCCCTCCAGCACTGCTGCTGGTGGCGCAAGAATGAGCGCCGAGTACGGCACCAGCTGGTACAGCTGACAACGATGAAAACAGGAAAGGGCGGAATGGAGGGGGTAAGGAAGCGGGAAACCAAGAGAAGAGGGGAAGGGGAGACAAAGAGGGAAGAGTGGAGGAGAGAGAGGTCGATGAGTGAGGGAAGACGCAAGGAGCTTCCCTTTTCTAAGGTTGGGGGCTGACGGTGCTGATGGATTCGAGGCGGTAGTGCTTCTATATGCGCAGCACCTTGGCGATTGTAAAGTCAACTAAACCATCATCAGGTGCAAGGACGAGGAGGAGACGAGAGGGAAGTCAGGGGGTGGCGAGGTGGGAGATAGGGGGGTGAGGGCTCACGGCGTTGAGGGAGTCGAGGCTGTACTGCTTGCCTTTGAGCAGCACCTCGGCACAGATGACAGTGGCACAGCCCAGCACCACACAGCACAGCGCCGACAGGAACGTGGGCAGCGCGAAGTGCACGGAGGGCGCGTAGGCCAGCATGGCCCCCGCCATCACCGGCAGCAGCGAGAGGCACAGCCGCCAGTCGTACTCCGCCTGTAGCGCCAGCGCCTGGATAGCCACTGCGCGAGCGGGGCGGGGGTGGGGGGAGGGAGGAGAGGAGAGGGAAGTTAGGGGTTGGAGGTCTGGGACGGGGAAAGGGAGGGAGGTGAAATGTGGAAGGGCACATAACCCGTGAGAATTGAGCGCGCTTGGCATGGAGTGATGCGCACAGCGCACCTGTGAGGCCGGGCGAGAGGGCCTTGGTGGAGAGGAGGGCGGGCAGCGGCACGTAGCGCAGGGAGAGCTGGCCGAGCACCACGTTGAAGCAGGTGACGACCGCCATGGGCATCACCCACGCCACCATCTCCCCCGCCTCCACCTCCGCCTTGGGACACACCTGCAGGATCTGCTCCGCGTGGGGTGCCACGCGATGGTCAACGGGGTGATGGCACAGCAGGGGAGGGGTGGAGATTGGCGGTAATATTTGAGTTGAATGGACTCGGGAATCGTGTTGGGTGGCATGGCATGACCCGCGGCAAGCATGGCCTGCGCCTGGACTGCCGCCCTGGGGCCCACGGAAGAGGGGCGAACGCAGGATGGACACGATGGGAGGTGGGGGCCGTGGGGGCAGGGGCACGAGGCGAGAGGCTGTGAGAGGCGAGTGATGTGTGGGGTCTAATGGGAGTGGCGTAGGTCAAATGGAATGAGCGAGTGGAAGGAGGGGGCGCGGGAGGCACGACTGACCTCAATAGCCGTGAAGGCGCCGACGAATGAGAGCGCGAAGTGGATGGCGGTGAGCGTGAGCGGGAAGGCAAAGCCGTACCGCTGCAGGTGGGGGATCAGGCCAGGGGGGGCGGGGGTGCGGGGCGCCAGCGGGGCAGAGAGACACGGGGCAGCGGGGAATGAGGGGCCGAGGGGCGGAGGGAAATGAGGCGGGGTACAGTGGAGAGGCAGACACGACAGGCATGCAAACAAGAAGTGATGGAGGGGAGGGGAGTGAGGTGAGTGGCGGGGTGGGGTGGCACCTGGAAGATCTCGTTGTTGACGAGGATCATGATAATGTTGAATGTGCACCACTGCGCCACTGACGCCACCTGCGCTGCACCGAGCGAGCGGCAGGAGGGGGAGTAACGGGGAGGGAGGGGGAGAGAGGGGGAAGGAGGGGGAGAGGGGGGAAGAGAGGGGGATGGAGGGGGAGACGGCGCATGAGGAACAAGCCCCCATCCTTGCCTTGCAGCACAAATCGCGCCAACCCCATTCCCAATGTTAGGAGGGCAATCATATGAGGGCCATGTTAGGAGGCCACGTGACCTGCCAAAAGAACTTGGGCGAGCAGATGGCGCGGCACGGCTCCACCAAACAGCATGCCGCTCCGCTGGGATCCAACGCGCTGCATATCCACCCGCTGCCTCCCCACCCGCTGCCTCCCCAGCTACTGCTCCGCGCGTGCCGTGGCGACGGCCGGGACTTGCGCGACTGTGACCACGACGATACGGCCCGCGAGTCATCGCCTCGTCCTGCGCTGGACGCGTGAGGGGTTCGGATTGTATTCGCGGTTTGAAATGTTTCAGGCGAAGGGATTGCACGTAAAGCTTCTAACACTTGAGATTTCAGCCCAAACAGCACAGCACAGCACGCCACCCATCCTAACCATGACAAGTGTCCGGCCACGTGAACAAATACGGCTGTTGAGAATCGCGGCACGCCATGTCTAACGACTCGCGAAGCGGAGGCGACAGGATCACTCACTGCGGCGGCGACCACGCGGAGAGGAAAGCCTGCGACTCGCTTCCTTCCCCGTCGCTCAAGCTGCAGCTGCCGGGCTCCAACCGGCTGTTTTCCAACCGGTCAGTCTCCAACCGGTCATTCTCCAACCTGTCGGGCTCCAAACCGTCAAATACGTGGATTCTCGCGCTAGTGCTCGGCGCAGAGGCGGGCGTGGAAGCGCGGCCTCTGAGCTCGGGCGCGGAGTGGTAGTCGGCGCCGGGCGAGCACGGCGACGCGACGCTCAAGTCCTCGAGGCTTCCTCGCGGCCGTTCCATCAGCGCGGCAACGCGCGTTACTTTCGCGTGCTAGACTTCTAGGTCCTAGCGCTGGAGCGAGCAGGGTTGGTTATGCAGAGAGCATGGTTGGGATCATGGTACTGGACCAACTGACGCAGCACACAAACGCTCAGGCTAGGCACCTTGAAAAAATCATCTTGAGTTATTTGCCAATGCTATGATGCTCAAAATACAATATGGATCACGGCTTTGACACAGCTGCTGCTGCTTTATTCTCCCGAAGCATTATCAATGACCTGACCAGCCTCGCAAGAAATATATGGATCTGCTTCAGCTCGTCGTTCCAGCCCTTGAACTCGCCGGCAATCGGAACGAATGCGAGCAGAGCAACTGAAGTAGAATCGAGGGACGCTCCGAGATGGATGGAACTTGGAGGGGAGGACTAACGAACGGAAAGCTGTGATCGTTTCAATTGCGGCGAATGACGTTCAACCGTTCGATTGCGGGAGCACCCGGTGGGTTGCGACTTGACGAACTATGCGACAGACTTGGGTTTGGCGAGGATTCTGGCTTCCTCCACACGATGTTTGATCTGATCGCTGTTGTGGCGAAGCACCTCGGGTTGTAAGCATTGTTACAAAAATTGGCCCTATTTTCACCTAAAATGATTCTTACATAGAGAAACATATGCTACTACGGACAGCTAGCAACACGTAGAGCAAACGCGCTGGATAATCATTTATCACACCTATTGGGCCAATTCATCACGTGCTGCAGCGAGTGCTACTTGCTGCATGTGCTGCTTGAAATTGAACCTCACCACCCGAGGGCTCACCGCAGTGATAGGCACCCTTCCTCCCGATGAGGTTGGCCTTTCCCTCCCCGAAACACTCCCCCAACTTGCTTCGTCCAAGCTCTCAACCCTAACAGGGAACGCCCCCTTGTCTTCCCTCCCCATGCCAATCTCCCCCTCGCAGTCCCAAGAGGCCGACAGGTGGTGATGTCGCCCCACACGAGCCACTTCCCCGCCTGTACGCCCCCTCGCGCCCGCATCTCTCTCCGCTGTCTTGCTCCGCACCAGCCCCTGCCCCCCTAGCGCCTCCGCCCATGCCAGCTCATCACTGTGCCTTGACCGCTGGCGCCTGCCTGCCACATCCACTCGAAGCCCTTCCCCCGCCCTTCCGCCCGCGCGCCCCCTTCCCGCCCTCAACCTGCCGCTTCTGTTCCCCACTCCGTCGCTGCTGGGGGGCCGGGGAACGACAGGGGATGGTAACGGTAGCGCGGGGGGCGTGTCAATGGGTGGAGGGGGGGGCGCAACAAGGGAAAGCGCGGCGCTTGACCAATCCGAGGCGGAGGCGAGAAGCGGCTCGTCGGCGAGCTGCGGCTTGAGCTCGCCCGAGGCAGCACCCGATTCGCGCAGCACGGCAGGGGCTACTGGCGCGGTCTTGCGTCGGGAAAAAATGGGATCACGCGCGTCGAAGTAACGGGGGGAAGCGGCGCTCTTGCTGGGGGCTGTCTGCGGGCGCACGGGACGAGGCGGCGCCGATACGATTCTGTCGCGTGAGCTGTTTGATTCGGGCGGCGATGCTGAGTGCTTATTTACAGAACACGGTCGGTCTACGCCCTCTGGTACACCCGTCGCATTCGTCGCACTCGTCGCGCGCGGGGACAACGAAATGAAATCGACGCCTTCCGCACGCCCCTCTGGAAGATCACAATCAGCACGGCGATTTGGATCCGCGCCGCCGGGTTCCGAATCCTCTCGCTCGTCCACGCTCGTCGCCTCCCGTCCAGCCATTTCGCCATGATAAGAATCGACCGCCAAGTGCTGAAACGAGGCGCTTCGTCGGTAGAGGTCCGCGCCGTCCTCTCCGCCATCGTCCGCAACGCTCTCGGCGCTCTCCACGCGACAGCTGCCGACCCGCAAACTCAAGTCCTGTTCGGCGCGCTCCTGACGGCGAGCGCTCGAGAGCAGCGACGGCAGCAGGCGCTTGTTCTTTCTGTCTGCGATAGAAGCCGCCGATTTGTCCGATTTGTCCGCAAACAGCATCCGCTGCACCTTGCGCGCAGTCGACCCCATCACGCTCCACTTCTTTCCTGTCGCAGCCCCTTCGTTCGTCGTCGTCGCAGCGGTGCTCGCAACAGAGCAGCCGTGCGCCGCGACGACTTCATCCATGTCGGCGGCGCGTTGCCAAAGATCCCCCGACCCCATGATGGACGAAGCGCGCTGCAACGGTCGCAACACATACGCGTCGAGCGACGCCGTGATATGCGGCGAGGCCTCGGTTTCTGCCATGCCTAATTGGTCAACTCTATTCGGAAACTAAGGAAACTGACGATTTCAGTGTGGATGGGAAGTATGATGCCAAAGACCATCAGCCCCACCACAATGCAGACATGCGTACAGTGTGTTCACAACTGAGGGGGAGGGGAGAGCACACAGTGGAGCACTGTTTGTGGAGAATCTGGTCAGGTGTGGAGCACTGTAAACTGTGCAAGATGCCTCCCAGAGTGAAGCGACATGCAAGTGGAAGAAGTGAGGGTGTTAGCTACAGCTCTGAATTTCCATTTCTCTCCATACCAGATGCACGCATTACACAGAAGTCAAAGGTTGTATGAATTCACGCGGTTTGAAGCAAACCGCTTAGATCAAAACATGTTATTTATGAAAAGACCCTTGGAATTCACGAGGTCTGGAGGAAGGAACTACCCAACCCAAATCTGGGTGATGCTACAGTACCACCGTTTTTGGAAAGAGTACGCAACCGCACAAGGAACTTTTTGGGAAGATTTGTGGTTGGAACGTTGAGAGATGTGTTCCATTGATGAATGGGTGTTGCGTGGGCACTCGTACTCACTCGAAGTGCCAGACTGAGAGATCACTTCACAGGTTGGGCTATTCAAGTGCACTTGATTTAGGACGTGGCCCAGACCGCCTCTGATCGGCGCTGATCTGATCGGGTTGGATCTGATCGGGTTGCTTCTGATTGCATTGCTCGCGCCGCCCGATCAGTGCTGATATTCCTGGAAAACTCAAGGCGCCTGCCTCGCAAGCGTGTCAGCATTTCCTGATTCTTTCGTCCCAATTTTGGCGAGTGCGAAGACGTTGCGAATTTTCTGTTTCCACGTAATCTCGCAAATTACACTTAAGTTAATGTTTGCGCGATTGTGTGACGATCTCAACGAGAAACTGTAATTTTTTTCGCAAGCGTCGCAAGGATCCCCATCCCATGCAATCAACTGATCGTGACTGATTGTGTGTGATCGTGATTGATTGGGGTGTTTGAGGCGGTTGATTGAGTTGGGGCGATCAATTGATCGCGATCAGTTGATTGCCCCTGATTGCCTGAAATCGGCATAGGGGCTTCCTGGAAGTTATTGATCGCCTCTGATCGAGGCAATCAGAGGCGGTCTAGGCCAAGTCCTTAGGTGGAGTTCGTGGAGGAGGAGATCCGGAAAAGTAAAACAATAAAAATATTCGGGGCATGGCGAGCGCACTCCAGCAACACCTGAACAGAGTCAGCCTTTGACCCTGTGGCCTGTGGTGATGAGTGGCACGTAGTGAAGTAACAAAGGCAGCCGCGCCGCAAACAATTTCTATTCGTTGAGCACAAGCGCCACATCGTGTCGCTCGTTGGTCCATTGACAAACACACAGCTGCGCAACAGCTGTCCTTTGGATCACAGTCCCACTGGACCAGCCCATCCTTGCCAGCCCGCGCTATGGTGCGCGCTTTACGCTACGTTGCTTCACACAAAATGACTGAAGCTTATAACATCAAATCAAACACGTATTCTACACTCTAATAGCCTCTAATAGCCACCACTGGGCTCCAGCAAAGCCAAGGCCTTTCTAATAAAATCAACAGCGGTTGGAACATCACTACCCGCAAGCGCACTCACGGCATATCGAGCCGCCTTGTGCGCATCCGCTATCTCACGAGGCCCTGGGCCTTGAGAGCTTGAGAAGCTGCCCATCGCTGTAGACCCATTTGCTGCTGCTGCAACATTCTGCCCTGCTCTTGCTCCTCCGCCTGACGCCACACCCCCACCACCTCCACCGTACCCTGAATGTGGAGACGCCTGCAATGGGTGTGCCCCAGAGGCACCCCCTGCTGCCCCCACGCCTGGGCTGGCAGCAGCAGCACCGCCTGGCATGAAGGAAAATGCTGGGCCAGCAGCAGCCGCAGTGGACGCAGGGGCAGAACCAGGGGCGACATTGGGGGCAGGCGGGGTGGCGAACATGGGGTTTGTGAATGCACCTGCGCCTACGGCTGCGGCTGCTGCTGCTGCCTGTGCCTGCTGGTAGGCCGGCGCTGCAGCAGGATGGACCCATCCGTCTGCTCCCTGGGCTGACTGGATCGAGGGAGCGGCAGTGGATTGTGGCGCAGCAGAGGGGTACTGAGAGTCAGGAGTCCAGTGGGTGAAAGTTGGTGGTGAGGTAAATGAGGGGGCGGAGGGCAGGGAAGGAGCGGAGGCAGGAGGGGCGCCGGCAAGGGAGGTGATGAACGCACTGTCTTGCTGAGGCGTGCTCTGCTGCCATGCCTGCGACGCCTGAGACGCCTGTGCCGCCTGTGCTGCCTGCCCCTGGGGTGCTTGCGAGTAATCCCCATGGCCCTGGTAATACGGATTCGCTTGGCCATGAGGGTTGGGCTGCATGGCAGCGCTGCCACCTCCCACTGGCCTTGCTACCTGCAGCCTGCCGGAACCACCCGTGGCACTGGTGCCACCAGGGGCAGCTGGGGCAGTGTTGGCACCATAGGCGCTGGGAGGAGGAGGGCCAGAGAACATGGCATCCAGGGAGTCGGCTGAGGGGAACGAGGGCGCTGCAGGCGGGGCCACGGCAAGGACTGATGCAGCCGCGGTAGCATCGGCGGGAGCAGCAGCGGCGGCATCAGCGTCACCCCCTGGCGGGCCGGGCGTGGGGCGCCTGCCGTCCGCCAGCGCCCTGCGGATGTCCGCCGCCTTCCACACCGCGTAGCGCTGCTTCTGCTCCACCTGCCGGGCGAACAGGCGAGGGGGCGAGGTGATGAGAGGGGAAAGGAAAGAGTGGGAGAGAGAGGTGGAGAAGGAGAGACGGGAAGAGGGGGGAAGGGGGAGAGGGGAATGAGGTGGAGGGAAGCGGGAGGGGCGAGGGCACGGAGGAGAATCTGTGGCAAAGGAGGAGAATCTGTGGCAAAGGAGGAGAATCTGTGGCAAAGGAGGAGAATCTGTGGCAAAGGAGGAGAATCTGTGGCAAAGGAGGAGAATCTGTGGCAAAGGAGGAGAATCTGTGGCAAAGGAGGAGAATCTGTGGCAAAGGAGGAGAATCTGTGGCAAAGGAGGAGAATCTGTGGCAAAGGAGGAAACTGGGGAGGGAGGGAGAGAGGGGAAAAAGCAGGTGGGGATGAGGGAGGCTAGAGTGTGCGCAAGGGTTGCATGCATCACGACCGGGTGACTGCATCCGAGAGGCAAGAAGACCACTTCCTCAAGGGTCCAAGACGAGCGAGGGGAAGTTCAGTGCAGGTGGGCGGGTACCTCAGGGGCAAGCTCCCCAAACTGGCGGCACACTTCAAAAAATATCCCCGCCGCGTAGAACGTCTTGGCCGTGCCCCTGGGGGACACGGGGGGGAAGCAGGGGGGGGGGAAGGGAAGGAGGGAAAGGAGGAAGGTTGGGATAAGGGGTGCTGTGCGTGTGATGAGTGGAAGTGACAGGGCGTGTGGTATGAGTGTGGAGGGCGGGTTGGAAGGCTTAATGCGCGGAGCTCGTAGTGGTGTGTGCTGGGAGTGGCACACGCACCAACAACGTCCCCGCCCCGCATAGCAGTGGCACGCACTCATCCCACTCATCGCCCCTACCACACACTTCCTCCCCCCCCACCCTCCCCCATTCCCCTTCTCCCATCCAATGAGCCGCAGCGCCAGCAGCAGCACCCCACATCACCCCACGGGGAGCCATGCGAGAAAACGCACATGTCAGCGCGGCTGGCGCGGTCCTGCTTGTCCGCCTTGCTGAACACGCGCTGCGCGAATCCCTCCACGTGCAGCCCGTCGTCCGGCGACAGCTGCAGCGCCACCTTGTCCTGCCGGGCGGAGGAACAGAGGGAGGGGTGCGAGGGGTTGGCAAGGTGCATTGACGATTGAAACAGGACGGGGAGACAAGGGAGAAATTCCCTCCCTCCACGTGCAATCTGTCGACTGGGGACAGCTGCAGCACCGCCTTTGTCCTGCCAGGCAGGAGCATGTGGCAGGCAAGGTGCATCAACGATTGAACCAGGGCGGAGGGATGGAAAGGAGACGCTGCAGCCCGCCGTCCGGCGACAGCTGCAGCGCCGCCTTGTCCTGCGGAGCAGATGATGCGGGAGGCGCACATGGCACAGGGCAGCGGTGCACATGGCACAGGGCAGCGGCGCACATGGCACAGGGCAGCGGCGCACATGGCACAGGGCAGCGGCGCACATGGCACAGGGCAGCGGCGCACATCGCACAGGGCAGCGGCGCAGAAGCAAAGAGAAGCTGTGCAGCATGAGGAGGGGCGTCCGAGGGCAGGGGAGACATGGCGCAGTGAATGTGACGGGCATTGGTGGAAACACGAGGGAGAGGGAAGGGAGAGGCGGGTGGCATGAGGCCCAGACGCTGCACGACGTGCTACGTTCCTTCCCGAGGCGGGCGTACCTTTTCGAGGCGGCTCATGATGGAGACGAGCAGCGCGTTCACGGCCGCGCTGCGCTCCTTGCTGGGCACGCGCAGCCCCTTGTCCATCGCGTACAGCCGACCTGCCACGCGCGCGCACTCCAATCGTTAGGTTTTCTGCTGCTTTCTCCTTTTTGTTCAGATTTTATTTCATGATATCTTTACTTGGGACTTTAACGCGCGTACAGTAGTAAGCGACGAGCGGGTCGTGTTTCTGCAGCTCATCGGCGCGCTGCAGGAACGGCACCAGCGCCTTGCCGTTCGCCAGCTCGTCGCCCGACAGCGACCCCGCCATGCCTGCGACGGCCCGCCGACCAGCTGAGTCAAAAAGATTCCGGTCAGGCAGCGGACCGACGCGGGAGTTGCAAACCCAACCGAATGGTCCTATCCGTGAAAAACGCTGCTGCTCGTGGCTTCCTGGCAGGTGTGGAACAGCGGGTGAGTGAATTCCTACGTTGCTCAAGGTGAGTCTGCTTCTACGGTGCGTGACAACACTAATACACGCTGCGACGAAGCGAGCAAGCGCTATTGTCGCACTGCCCGCGAGTGGCGGAATGGCAGTTTGCTGTGGTGCTCGGCAATTTCTAGGTTGAGTGCCTGCTTGAATATTTACTTTTCCGCGTTA